TCAGGCAGAGTGGAGGACGGGACAGCCTCAGGCAGAGTGGAGGACGGCACAGCCTCAGGCAGGGAGGAGGCTGGACTAACTTTAGTCAGGGTAGAGGCCAGGACCACCTCAGTTGGGAAGGAGGGGGACCTCTCAGGAGCCAGGAAGAGAGAATATGGGGAAGTCTCAGGAGAAAGGATCTCAGAGGGTACTGGGAGGGCCTGGGCATTCGAGGAGGCCTCCTGGGGAGACCAGGAGGAGGAAGTGGATGAGAATAGAGAGGCTGAGATGAGCTTTTCCCCCAAAGAGACCCAGGCCCTGGCAACTAAGGGCACAGAAGAAGCAACTAAGGACCAGACAGCAGCGGGGGAGGCTGCAGAAGGCCAGGGGTCAGAGGGGGAGGTAGGGGAGGGCTTTGAGATCCAAGCAGATCAGGGAGGTAAAGAGGCTGAGGGGAGGCAAGCCTCAGCGATCAGGACTGTTGCCGCCAGTCCGGAGGAGGTGGTGGAGGCAGAGACGGCCAAAGAGGAGGAAGAGGGTTGCTGGGCCTCAGAGGCTGAGTTGCCCAAGGACGACGTGGCAAATGAGGCTGAAGGGGATGCTGACCTGGAAGCAACCCTAGAGACCAGCAGTCCTGAGAAGGAGTTCAGCGGGGAGAGGAGTGAGGGGGAGGCTCAGACAGGCGGAGAAGCACAGGGGGTGGAGTGGGGTGGCCTTGAGCACGAAATCACTGAAGGCCAAGAACCTGAGCTGATGGCAGACCCCCAGACCCTGACAGAGCAGCCTGAGGACGGACAGGGGGGTGAGGAAGAGCTCTGGGGCGTTTCAGCTCTGAGCAAAGAGGAGACGGAAGGGAGCCTGGAGGAATACCCCAGGAATGTGGGAGATGTAAAGCCTGATGCCCCTGGGGCAGAAGTCTGGGAGAACCAGAGAAGGGATGTGGAGGGAGGGGATGCCCAGGAAGAAAAAGCAGATGCTGAAGAGGGGGAGGAGGAGGCTGCAGGAGGCCAGGCCCCGAAGGAGGCCGGGGGAGGCCGAGAGTCTGTGCTCCCGGATGTCCCAGAGGCAGGCGGGGAGTGGAAGAAAGCCCAGGACGCAGGGTGTGGGGCAGAGGAGGGAGACAGCCCTGGAGCAGAGAGCCAGGAGCTGGGTGGAAGGCATGGGGCAGACGCAGGGACAGGTCAGTCGCTGGGAGAGTCAGATGCCAGAGAAACCGAGGATGAGGAGGTGGAGGCCACCACAGTGCCCTGGGGGGCAGACACAACATCCAGCGGAAACTGGAGGCTGGAGGAGGCCGCTCTGAGCCTCCAGGACAGCGAGGACCCAGGGGTCAGTTCTTTGGCTTCTGAGATGGTGAGGGATAAGGTAGCTCTGGTTGGCAGGGCTGCTGGAGCTGGGGGAGGGCTCGAAAGAGAGGCTGGGGAAGCTGGGGACTCCAAAGGGAGGCAGGAGGCTGGGGGAGGCGGGGAGCTGGTAGAGGCTATACAGGGAGAAAACCGAGGTGGGCTGGAGTTTGGCCTGGCGGGCTCCGCAGACGAGGAGGTGGCTGGCAGAGGGGACCAAGCAGAGGCTTCGGAGGCCAGAGAGGGTGAGCCTGGGGGAGAGTGGGTGGAGGTCAGGGAGCCTGCGGTGGCAGAAGGAAGCTGTGGGATGGAAGGCTTTATCTCGGGCTCCCAGGTGGCGAAGGCAGAGGGGACCGTGGCCACGGTGGAGGCCGAGGGGCTCCCAGGAGGGCAGACGCTGTTGGAAGAGGAGGCTGTGGGATGGCAAATGAAGGAGCAGGGGCGGGGCAGTGAGGGGCAGTGTGGGGACCACCACCCCGACGGAGAGGCAGGAAGGCCCCTTGATGTGGAGGATGTTGCGGTGACTGAAGACCGGAGAGCACAGGCCGAGGAGATTGTTCCCGAAGGCCCGGAGGACGTCCAGGGCCCGGAGAACCAGTCAACACACCAGGACCCTGCAGAGGCCGAGCGTGGGTCACAGGGGGAGACGGCAGCAAGTGCTGGTCAGGGCGCTGGCGCCAGCTGGAGCGAGGTGAGAGCCCCAGCGGCGGTCCGGGGCTGGATAGAGCAGAATCTTGAATCCGGCCCCATGGTACTCTGTGCCCCTGCCCTGCAGGCCCTGCTCCCTGGGTCTCTCCTGGACGTCTCTGTCCCCCGGAGCCGTGTACTCCTGTCTCGCAACTCCTCGCTGCGCCGCTCCCGGCCCTCTTCCCGACGGACCGGCACCCCTGAGCAGCAGGAGGAGCCTCCCCGCCCGCCACCCGAGGAAGAGATGTCAGCTCCCGAGCAGAGACTTCTCCAGCCAGAGGAGCCCCCAGAGCCCAGCCCCCCGAAGCCTGAGGGGACCCCGCTGCCAGCCAGGAGAAGGCCGCTGGGACGTGGGTAAGCACAGGGTGAGGTGGCTGGGCTGGGCTGGCCTGGGGAGGAGGCTGCGCCTGCCTGGAGACCAGCTCCCCTGACCTGTCTCCGTCTGCAGGTTTGGCCTTGCACACACCGGCATGATGCAAGAACTGCAATCTCGGCTGGGCCTGCCAAAGCCGCAGGGAGGGCCCTGAGCCCCCGGGAGCCCGGCCCCAAGTGAGGCTCGGAAGGATCTTCCGAACCCTGCGCAGCCTATCTCCCTCTGCCACTCGGGACACACCCTTTCCACCCTCTGGGCCTCAGTTTCTCAGTGCGTCATTCTCGGAACAGACAGAACCAGATGCCTGCGAGGACCATGAACTTGAGGAGCGTGACTCGGCAATGTGGCCGACAGACTCCCTGCCCGCTGGGACCGCTCCTCACGGCCTGTCCTGACCACCCCTCTCATCTGTCTCGGCCGCCTGGAGGGCCAAGGGGACGAGACAGTTCTCCCCTCAGCCTTCCCTCCGGGACTGCTCCCAGTCCCCACCCGGGCCTTCCGGAAAGCTGCGGAGCAGCACACAAACCTCGGGGGTGGGAGCTAGCCCAGAAGAACGGGGTCAGCAGGGCCGACAAGCTCCATTTGCAATGGGAGGTGGGTGAGAAACAGATCGTCAGCGGCCCTGAGCTTTCAAAAAACGCACAACTCTGCTGGTTACTATGGCAACCACCGGCCCAGCGAGCCAGAATGGGGGAAGGTACCCAGGAGCCCCCAGAATTTAGGAGCAGAAAGGGGCCCAGGGTGGCCAGAGGCTACAGACTCTTGTCCCCTGGGGGTCAGGTACCCCTTCTCTGAAAAGAAGCTGAGACCGAGGGAGGATGAGAGTGCTTTATTGGGCACCCCGCATGGTGACCTAGCCCGAGGACAGCTAGCAGGCTCTGAAACAATAAATAAACCATCCTTTCCCTAAACAATAAATAAATATCCAAGAAATAAATATCTGCCAGGGACCGGAGGGGCCTTAAGTTATTGGGTCGGGGTTGGGGTGGGAGGCCGGTGGAGTCCTGCCTGGTTTAAGGCAAATGAGCTGGGGGCTGTCTCGTTGCCCAGACCCCAGTCCTCAGTTCCTGAAAGGTGAAGGGACGGGGCTGAGAAGTCATCCCATCAGGGCTGGGAGCTGACTGTTGAGCACCCCAAGGGTGGGGCTGGGTTTCCGGCTTGGGAGAGCAAGAGTAAGTCCCTCACAGCCCGAGCCAAGACAAGCTCCAAGGAGTGCAGCAACTGGTAGGTGTAGAGGAGCTGGGGCCAGGACAGCTGTGCTGACATGTGCGAGGGGCCACCCGGAGCCCGTTCGGGCAGCCCCTTCCTCTCCTCATTCTCCTCCTCAGGGAGGTTGAGTCCCGCAGCCAGCACCTGCGAGGAGACGCCCATGGGTCAGACAATGGCCAAGCTGAGACCCGGAGCACATCCTCGTTCTTTTATGTGCCCAGTGGTACGGAATGACATCAGAGACCACAAGGTCATGATTTCCCTGGATAGCCCCTACTTTATAGATCTTCCATTATGTCATCACCTCACGCACCCTGCCTGATTTTTTGGTTCAAGAAAATGGAAGTCACAGAGCAAGATGCTGCTCATGGAGGTGGCACACTCATCCAGGATTGCCCTGGGCATTTGGGACCCCAGAAGTTCTTCTCTTAAGGGTCATTTTAGGATCTGAGATGGACAGAAAGGTGGTATAGCTAGTTCTCATGCCGCTTGCGTTTTCTATTTTCCTTTTGTTAAGAGAAAAATGCCAGTTTCCCTTGGAAATGTTCAGGAGGGCCTGGTGATGTGAGAGGCTGAGGGAGAAGGGAACCAGCTTTGTTGCAGGGTCTGTTGATGCCAACAGCTGTTCCGGGTACTTCAGAGCTGTTCAGACCAAGACCCCAAGAGAAGGCAGAGATTCGGGGGACAGAGCCAGTCCCCCCACCTCCCTCCGACACACAGAGGGTCTGGAGCATCTCCCTCCAAAGTTACCCAACCCGTGGGCAGGGGGTGTTTGTAAAAGGGAGCCAATGAGCTTCAATTTTTTGTGTTGGTCTCTGGGAGTTGAGGAGGTGGGTGGACACTCTACCTGGAAGCGGAGATGCTGCTGCAAATCCCGGAGATCCAGCCTCATGGTCCACAGCTGCATCTTCTCTGAGCTGGTCCAGCCCCTCTGGCTTCCCAGGCCTCCCAAGAGGGCATGGAAGGGGCGAAGCATCATGGAGAGGAAGCAGAGTCGTTCTGAGTCCTGTGGGAGGGAGGGAATGGGTCAGGCAAGGCTCACAGGCTAAGGATCAAACCCCACCCCATGCTCACCATCCTATCACTCTCTGTCCACAGCCCCACTCTATCCCCTTCTTCACCAACCCTTTTTCCGTCCATTGCCTTGCTTGTGGTTTTATCCTGTCTCCAGCCTCCTTCCAACCCTAGTCCCACACCTAATCCCAACCCCATCCCTTCTCCATAGGTGCAGCCTCATTCTCACACCACTCCTTTATTCCAGCTGAATTTTTATATCCAATGACATACTCAGCCTCATCCAGATCCGATTCCTCCACTCTTCCCCAAATCCATTTTCCATTCAATCCCAACTTCATCTCCATCCACCCGGGCCAGCCTTTCTGCTAGCTCTCCTGCCCCACCCCTCTGGCCCCCAACTCACAGAGAGGCTGTGCCAGGCCTGGAAGGTCAGGGAGACGTTGGGGAGCTGATGTCCCAGGGGCAGGAGATCCAGGCTCACTCCTGGCAGGTGAGATTCAGCCTGTGGGGCAAGGTCTTGTTAGTGGGGACCAGAGGGAGTGGGGATTTGCCCATCCCCCAAACCAGTTGCATTAGGGTGACTCACAAAGCGGTGGGCCTGGGTCCGAACCTCGGAGAATAGCTTCCTGGCGAGCTGCAGGCTGACCTTGAACTCCCTCCGCAACTCCTGCAGGCTCAGGGGGGACCTCCCTGGCGGTCTCGGGAATCCCCAGACACCAGCTCGAGCCAGGAGCAAGGAGAGCAGCAAAAGGCTGAGCCCTGGAGTTGGGGGAGGGGGGAGTTGGTGGGCCAGATGAGGGGAAGGCTTGAGAAGAACTCACGTGCCTTTTCTAGCCTGCGCTATAGGCAAGCCCTGTGCCATCTCACTGACCCCGCACAACCACTAACAAGATGGAAGCTTTTGAGGATGCCATATGGCATCTCTGTATGAATGAAAAGAAGATACCCCTTCTCCAAGACAGACACAACCTTGCTTAGAGTACCTACCTTTGCAAGCAAATCTCAGGCTGGATTTGACCCCCACCAACTCCCTTGGCCAAGTGTCTTTTTCAGTGAACAAACCACTCAACCATATGTGGTAGCCTGGGTGCTATTATCCTGTGCATTTTGCAGTTGAGGAAAATGAGGCTCAGTGAAGTTGACTAGCCCAAGGCCAAATAGCTAGAGGGTGAGGGAACCAGCACTGGATTCCAGATCTGCCCAAATGCAGAGCCTGTGTGCTTCCCCCAGCGAACTTAGAGGAGGGAGCCACCTCCCACGGAGCGGGCACACTGTGTTCTGCTGAGGATTCCTTGGGCTTAGCCCGTCGGCTCTGATGGCCTGAACTAGAGCCCCAGGGGTGGGCAGGCGGTGCTGGAGGCTCTATCCCAGGGAGTCAGAAGGACAGGCTGGTCCAGCCACCACCAAGGAAGGTGGATCACTCTGCAGTGTTGGAAGAACAGGGGGTGCCAGGAAGAGGAGGAGAGCCCAGAATGGGAGGCAGAACCTCGGTTTCTCATTCAGGTTCTTCCCTTGAGCAAGTCATCTCTTATCTCTGTGCCTCAGGTTCCCATCTGTAAAATGGGGGAGTCAGACCAACTGATTTCTTTTCTTTCTTTCTTTTTTTAAAATTTATTCATTTGAGACAGAGAGATACAGAGAGAGCGAGAGCATGAGCAGGGGAGAGGCAGAGGGAGAGGGAGAAGCAGGCTCCCCGCCGAGCCAGGAGCCAGACATGGGGCTCAATCCCAGGACTCTGGGATCATGACCTGAGCTAAAGGCAGATGCTTAACCATCTGAGCTACGCAGGTGCCCCAGACCGATTTCTGAAACTACTTCCTGCCCTGTTTCCTGGACAGAAGAGAGAGAGGCCCTAGGGTGGGAGCTCTGGGAAGAGGGCAGTGTTTGCTGGTTTCTCCATCAGGGAGAGGAAATCTAGCAATCGCTGGAGTTACACAATTCTCGAAACACAAACCAAAACTAGGCTGTAAGTCTAAGTCTGTTCCTGCTCTCCCTCCTCTCCCTGCCGTTCTTGATCTCTAACCCCTGGGCTCTGCTCCTGAAATTGTCCTGTAAATAAAGACTAAGGGGAGCTTCTGTGTACTTCCATTCACCAATGTACTTCCAGAGGTGGGGGGCAGTGCCTGTGACCCCCCAGCATTCAGGCTTCCCTGGCTTGGGGACCACTCTGGCATCCCAGAGACTTTAGACGGTGTGGGATTCCTCTTAGCTCTATTTTGAGGGAAAGTGCATGCCCCCAGGCTCTGATGGATATTGCCCACCCAGAATTGAGCTGAGCCATTTCCTACTGACCCTCTGCTTCCTGTCTGAGCTCTAGAGCCCCAGACCCTTCCCGTGGCTTCTCCCTACCCTCTGTACCCAATCCTGGGTCCTTGGCCCTGGCTCTGTCTCCATCCTCCAGCCCTTGGTCCTTACTCTGGCTCCTCTTCCTGTGGCTCTGGTTCCAGCCTCTGACTCTTTGAGTCACCAACTGCAGATTGGACCTCCTTCCAAGCTATAGACCCTTGATCCAGTTAGGCTGTTGACTCCTTGGCCCCAGCCCCACACTCCAGCCAACTCCTCCTGCTGTTCTTCCTCTACCAGCCCCAGTTCTCAGCCAAACTGTCTGGTCCCTGCTCATTCACCCCAACCAAACTCTTCATTTATCTGCCTGGTCCTGGTCCTGGTCAAACTGGCTGCCCACCTTTCTCTCCCTTCAGGCCAGTCAAGCCTTCCCGTCCTCTGCCCAGCCCTGGCCGAACCATCATCCCTCTGCCCCTGGCCCCCATTCATGCCAGACTCATTCCCATTCTCCTGTTGACTGTATCCTGTATCCTTAGTCTTGGCCAAATAGTTGCCCACTCAGCCCCTGGCCCCCATCCACACCCATCAAGGCCTCCCATCCCCTGCCCAGTCTCAGCCAAGCTTGCCACCCCTCTGCCCCCAGCCCTGGCCTCAGACTCACGCCAGCCAAGGTCGCCTGCCATCTGGCCCATAGCGGGGCCCAGCCTGTGTGGCCAGCCATCTCCCGGGCAGGGGTCTTATACTGGGGGCTGCGCCGGTTTCACTTTCCGTCCTGCTTGTACTTTCGGCTTTGCACTCAGTCTTCTCTCCTCACCACCCCTTGCTGAAATGGGGAAATGTCATTTCCCTTCCCAGAGGGGGCGGGAGGTGCAGTGGGGGGGTGACGGGAAGCTGGGGTTTCTGTCAATCCAAGCTCCGGACCCCCTGCTCAGCTTCCAGGACCAGCCCTCCCCTCACGTCCCCGCTCCTGGGTGAGCCACTGCTCTAGGGACTGGTAGGTCCCAGAGACTCAAACCCTCCTACTCCTCTGCTCTGTCATTATCATCCTAGTGCCATCACCAACTCAATGTCCTATAGAAGATGGATGGCCAGGTAAGGGGATTGCCCATCCCCTTGGGGGCTTGGGGTTTTGAGTCATCCTGCTCTTTTCTGGTTTACCAGATGGCTGAGGGAGGGAGTGCGAAGGAAGTAGGGAGCTCCTTGTGGAGCTCAGATGGGGCTTTGTGTGGAGCAGTGGGGTCCCAGTCTGGGCAGGGTCAGGGCTCAGCCTACAGCCAGGGTCAGGGTGGATGAGAACGGGTCCGTTCAGAGCCAAGAGCTCAGTCTTTGGCCAGAGTAAGATCTAAGATTAGAGCTCAGTCTATAACTAGGTTTAGGACTTGATCTAGAGGCGACTTGGTCTAGAGCTTTGTCTGTGCTTGCGGTGAG